GGCAGTCCTCATGCTTGTATAGGAAGCACTTTAACCACCGAGTCATCTCCCCAGCCAATAAAGGACCTTTAAGATCTCATCCTCCCCAGTCACAAATGAGTTACTCAGGCATAGACAAGGCTAATGAATATCTCCCGCAGAAGCAAAAGGAAAGAAAAAAAGCTTCATCCACAGAGAGTCACAAATAGAAAGTAACCAATTGTGATTTGTGGGTTTGCTGGCCATGAAGATGAGCAGTGTCTATATGTATCAACCTGATCATAAAAAGATGCAGAGGTTGGGGAAAGTGTCAGGTGAAAGAATGGCCTATTGCTTTGCAGGGTCTCCTGCCTTGATTGAGTACCTGCCCCGTGGCAGGCTGTCTTGGGGCATTTTATAGACATTGTGATATGAGAAGAACAAAGAAAGATAGATAGTAGGATGATGGGCAGAGAGGAGATTAGAAGGAGAATGCAAGTGATGTTGAAATATGTGTGCTGAATAAGAATTGGGTGGCTCACATCAGTGTTGCAAGGCCATCTACAGGATTGGCTGTTACTGGGGTTATCAAGAGAGAGGGATTCTGCAGTTGCTGTCTGTTACTCAGTGGTGGCTTGGGCCTGTTTTGTGCTTGTGCACAGCATATTAGTCCTGAAGCATGTGCTTAGTTCATGTGTGGACTGAGAGAAGACAAGAAGGAGGGTGGTGGACACCAGGAGTATTTTCTGTTTATTCATCAATCTGTCCATGCACACGTCATCCTCCCATCTGTCTAATCCAAAAACCAGCAAGTGGTTCTCAGTCAGCTCTTCTTGTGATCAGCAGCCCCAGCTTCTGGGATGCCCTCACTTCTAAAGAAGCTGTTTTCAGTGCTGTGCCCTACCCCCCACGTGTAGCATGTTCATAATGATGCCTCCAAGTCACCAAAAATGTATAGTGGCCACGAGACCCCTTAGTGAAGGTATACACTGGCAAAATACACTTTAGAAAGATTTTCTTTCAGCCATTAAATTGGTGGTGTTCTGGGAAAAGAAGTCGTCATTGTGCCTTTTAACACCTAGGATAGTGTTTCATAGACACACACACACAGAATGAGATGTATGTGATATAGAGTATAACAGGAATGATTTAAGTTTGGGGGTGGTCATATTGTATTATATCCAGAACCCTCCTTCATAGTCCTTGCTTACCTGAAGCTTTGCTAGGATCTCCTCACCTCTACCAACACCTACCCTGGATGGGACCAAACGTTTCTCCAGTAGGATCAGCGTCATCTGCTGAAGGAACAGTGGGGTGTTGAGTATGAGGATGGCAATGTTAGAGACTGAAGCCCCTTCTTGGTGAGTGACAACTTTGTGAGCTCTGGTTTCCATAGTGGTAGCGATTGTATGATCATGTATGCACTACAGAATTATCAGCCCAGGCATAGGAAACACTGTCTGGTGTCCTGGGAAATTTCTGAGCATCATAGTCACAGGGACTAGGGATCTCTGTGCCCACACCCTCCTATAGCAGCTTTGCCTCAGGGCATGTGTTAAGTTGACAGCACTGGTGATAGTTGAAAATAATAAGGAACATTTTGCCAGGAAAACTGTTTTGGTCCCCTGACTGCTCCGGGCTAGAGAAGGGCAGTTTTGCGAAGGAGCCGCTGTGCACTGAGTGCAAACTGTATCCTCTTGGCCCACTTGGTCCAGTGCTTTAATGCTATCATCTTCCTCAACCCCCGCTCTCCACTTTCCCCATGGAATCCTCACTCCTCCACAGTGTTCCCCAAGCTCAGTAACACCCCCATGTTTCTACCTAAGACTGATTAAAGTCCCATTAAGACTTGTAAGTGGGCCAGCTCTATCCTCTCTAATGGAGGAATCTTGCTCAGCAGAGTTGGCTGCACTGCACCTGAAAGGACAACCCAGGTCTCTGCAAGTCCTTGCCAGCTGGCTGTTGCCTCCACAGTCTCTTAAACTGCCCTTGAGCTATTAAAAAGAAACATATTTTAAAGGAATCTTGTCAGGCATTTCCCTCAATTTTTACAAATATTTCCCATAACTTTACATAAGACTTTGTCACAGTCTCTTCAATCTAATATTTGCTCCGGAAAGTTACAGTAAGAGTGACAGGCCAGGTTTGTGTCGTGAATTTTCCCAGTCGACTCTTTGCTGCTTCTTGGTTTGAGGAATTACAGAGGCTGAGCCACCCTGGCAATTCTTGATCTGTGCATGAACCATGCAGATAGCATAGGCCCAAGGAAGAACATAGCTGTGCTTGACAAGAGAATAGATTTGACTCGTCCCTAAAAGCAAAGGTTTGGTATTCTGATATTCTTTCAACTTGGTTGAATATAGGAGATAGAAATAAATTCACGAATTTAGCCATTGCTTATCTTACCATTACTGGGTGCCAAACATCGTAGGTTCATTGGTGAAAGCATTGAACTTGGACCTCCATTAAAGCATATTCTTCTTGTCGGACAGGAGCCAGGATGATCATGGTCTAAGCAGGCATCCTTAGAGAAAATTATTGTATTAGTAATTTGGCTTTGGATGAAGTGAGCATAGCCAACTTCAGGAAATTGTGACATTGGTGAATGAGAACCCAGAAGAAATGGGTCCAACCAACTTGTGGAGCTGGAAAGAGATGGGAAAGGCAGCCATTAAATAGAATAAAAAACCATAACCACACTGGTGGATGATAATGGGACAGGGAAAGAAAAAGATGGAGTGCAGGGAGTGGAGTAGAGTCAGGAATAAAGTAACTAGGCTGGTACCCTCTGGATAGACTCAAGAAGGAGTGCAGGAGCCAGAACGACGTGTATATCCAGGGAAGCGAGTTCAGTGCATCAGGAGCCGCAAGTGTGATGTTTCAGGGATGCGTCCTGGTGAGGGCTTTCAGGGCTTCTTCGTTAGATGAGATAGGAGACTAAATAGAAGAGTGACATGGTCTGAACAAACGTTCTAACAAAATTCTAACTCTTGAGAACAGTAACTAAATGGCGGCAGGGCCACAAACTAGGAGAAAAGTTAGAACTGACAGAGTAATACAGGCAGTAAATCTGTATGTGGTAAACCCCAATCCAGGATTTGGACCAGGGTGGGGAGACGTATTCAGAACGTGGGTTTATGTTGCATGAGAGCCAATGTGCTATAAAGGTATGTTCTAGGAAGCGGTGAGTCAAGGAGGACACTGACACTTTGGTGTAGACTTAGACAGACCTCAGACTTGTCCTGTGTCTGGAGGTCCTGCTCCCACTTCTGTCTTTTACTGATTGTTTCCCTTTTGTTCATGGCAGTGGTCAGTGATGGTAGGACCATGCTCTCATCCTTACCCGTTGCTGTTGCCTGGCACAGTGCCTGCTGCACAGCTAGCTGGTTCTTGGGCCATGTTTATTGAATGCCTGTTGTTCTCTTCATCATTCATGATCTCTATAATGCTGTAAGGTCTAAATGGTAGCCTAAACTACATTTTGGTATGAAGAAAAGTGGAACACAGCGTGTCTGAAGTTTGTTAAAGCCAACAGTCAGAGGACATCAGTACACAGAACCTCGAATCACAGCTGCCCGTATTGCCTGTTCTTTAGAATGCTGCTAAAGGTCTTTGGTTTGTGTGATTTTGATTTTCAGGACCAGGTTTCTCTGTGTAGCCCTGGCTATCCTGGAACTAGTTCTGTAGACCAAGCTGGCCTCGAACTCACAGAGATCCTCCTGCCTCTGTCTTTCCAGTACTGGGATTAAAAACGTGGTGGCTGCTAATGTTCTGAACTTCCAGACAAGGTGCTGCTTTGCAGCAAGTGTAACAGATCATTCTTGCTAATGTCATTAGCAAGACTTTGTCATTAAGAGTCAGCTCTTGAGTGACTCCAAAGTAGAACAAGAACTTCCATGTCCAACAGACAGTAAGACCAAACTAGTTCAACTGCATCACTAAATGGAAAAGCTTTGTCCCCATGGAGCTTCCTTTCTGCCAACGCCATTTACTGTGACGATTGCAGTTTTAAAATTTTGAAAGTGGAAGCCAGCTGTAACCGTGGTGTTGGAAAAAGCAAATGAGCATTGACGGCGTTGTGCGGGAGACAGACGTGTAATGAAGACCCCCTGCCAACAGCTCCTTCATTCCTCTGCCCAAAATCTCCATGCCTGTGTTAACATGATCTGAACGGTGACCATGCCAGAGGTGGATGTGTTGCAGCATCTATTCTAGTCTTTTTTTGAAGATCAGAGACTGAGCTTAGCAGGGAACAGATAAGAATTTGGTAGGATCTGAGTCTGGAAACCCAGGTGCCTCTCTAGATGAATGGAAAAATCCCACCCCCTCTGCAGGGGGCCAGTTGTTCTGAGTCTGTCAGGTGACGGGGGCTATGGAATGTCTATGTGTCTATAGAGGTTCTTCATCTTCTCCTGCCACTGCATGGGTCCCCATCTGGGCCAGTGACTGGCATAGAAAAGAACAGGTGCCACTTTGTCAGTGGTTTCCAAAGTTGATTGCTTTAAGGATATGTTTTTCTTAATTATAGCAATTATGATTTATACACGCATAAGTACTTGAAATTGTGTCCAGGGCAAGTCCTAGAAAAGCTGATCTTGAAGGAAGCACCCTGTTGATCTGGGATCCAAGGCCTGCACTTCTGAGAAAGGAGACCAGGCCACTATACGTACACCTCCAGTAAGTGTTAGTGTGTCTGAGTGTGCTATAGAGTCAAGGTGCTAGTGTGGCCGAGTGTGCTAGAGTGTCAGGGTGTTAGCGTGGCTGAATGTGCTATTGAATCAGGTACAAATTTGGTGATTGCTAAGGCTGATGTGTGCCTTCACTTATAAATTGGAGACAATGTTTTCTTCTTGGGGTTCTCATGGAAATTATGGAGTTAATGAGTAGAGGGCAACCTAAGGCCTGAATAGCCAAAGCCCCTTGTGTGTAAGCTGACAGTTAGATGTTGCATGTGCTATGTCAGCTCCCATGCTCTGTGAACACAATCTAATATACTAATTAACCTTTTGGATTGAAGGGCCAAAATAGAGTAAGTCAGAATTGCTGCTATATTACTTATCATTTTCAGTGTTTTTTTTGGCTTTGGTTTTACAGATGTAACTTTCCTTCTGGGATGCTATTCTGGACATTCCTTGTGACTGTAGACTAATCTTTCATAGTGTCCCACCAGGCAGCCACAGTCCAGTTAACTGAGTGCACATGAAGATGCACTTGTCTGTGGTTTGAGGATCCAGGGCCATTGTTGTTTTCATCTCTGGCATTTACACTCGCTGACAATGTAAACCCTCTGTGTAAAGAATTGTCCACTCCCCTGAACCTTGAATTCCAGACTTCAGAAGGAGCAGAGATATTTGAGTGGGTGTATCTGTGCATCTTGGAAGAATTTCTTCTGCCTTCTTTCCTTGCATTCCACATCCTTCCCCCGACCCACCCAAGTGCAACTGGGGCTTTCATTGCTAGGGTCAGTGAAAGAGGACCACATCCACCTGCCCACACTCTGCTGCCACTCTGCTGGCTGACCCTTTAGCATGTTTCAGCCCTTTAACTTGGCAACTTCTGCCTCAGACAGGTCACAGATTTGACAATGGCATAGTCATAGTAACGTCCTCACTGTAAGATGGTTTTAAAAGAGGGAAGCCTGGTGGATTGTTTCAAGTGGCATGCATGCATGCAACAGGAGAGAAGGTAGTAGATGGTAAGCCTCAGCTGGTTCTGCAGGTGTGAATGCTGTTGTTTTCCGCCCTGTCCTCTCTGACCCCTGCTGGTGGAGGAAACCCCTGTGTAGCTCCTCCTAAATCCCCCTTAGGTGAGCTTGAAAAGGCATGATAGCTTCATTTCATTTTAGAGGTTTCTATGCAGACAAGGTAACCAGGATTCTGGGAACATTGCAGCTGCCTCACGGAACTTGAAGGGCCCATGATACCTCTCAGACACTCTCTTGGCTCACTCTCATCTCCTGAATATTTTATTTCTGATCCCACCAGTAGGTAAAGGAATGTGATGGTTTCCTCACTTTGGTCCTTTTCCCTAGAACTCTGTCAGCCTGAGGATATATTTTGGATAAAGGAGTAGAGTTACTTTGTTGCCAGTGATAAAAAAAAAAAAGCCTAAAAATGTACAGGTAGGAAAACAGACAAGAAAGTTATCCCTGGCAGCGGTTTCCAGCAGACTTCAGGCCACTCGTTTCTATGGCAGTAATTATTTGCAAAAGTTGTAATCCAATTATAAAAACAGTTTTTGGAATTGCTCACATTTCTCCTGTCGATAGCAAAACATAGCAGCTGAATAAGTCCTATAATAGTTACAGATGTTTTTCGAGGATGTCAAGTATGTAAAAATACTCAGCAAAACAATTTCTGAAAGCATTTTTTTGTATGGAGATCGGACAAAAGAATAATTATAAAGAAACTTCTGTCTGAGTGAGATCTGTAGTGTGCTAAAGGACTATTGACTTTATCAGATTTAAATTCGACAGCAGGAGAGTGTGTGATAAATATTACTGTTCTGAGGACTCTGCCTCTGCACTAGAGAGGTGTGGCCTCGCAAATCTCAGCACATTGCCTGAAATTGGCGTGGCTGGATCCTGGAGGCTATGTTTAGGAAAATCTTAAACCACTCATTCATCTGCCCCCTCCCTCCATTCCAAATGTATTTCATTATGGTTACATTTTCAGCATAGAAAAATCTCTTATCAGTACATCTTGCCTAGTGATGTAGAACATACTGAAAAATCCAATCAAAGTACGTTTAACAAATTAACTTTAATCATGTAAAGAAGAGATATTAGCATTTTCTGATTGATGAACAGATAAAGCTGTTATTATTTTTTTTCTGCAGTTTTGTTTCTTCTCTGTTTTATACTAAAAATATGATCATGGCATTTTCAATCATCTATGAATCAAACCATTGGAATGTCCCCATGAGTCATTCAATCACGCATTTTCACTTGTCGCAGATGCCCAAGATTTTAAATGACTCTAATATAGACTAAGAAGAACTGGTTGCCTCAGTAAACATATCGATTAGCTGGCATACATTAATACAGTTACTGAATCCAGAAGTCATATTTAAGCTGTTTCTATACCTAGTGTACATCATTGGATTCCTTTCCGATCTTATATGAAGTGATTTGTTCAAGTGGGTCATTTCTGAGCTAAGATGAGTAATGAGGAACTTGCTGATCACACACCATAAAAACACACGCAGAGCTTTTTCATCCCTGTCTCTCCAGACTTACTCTTTTTCTTACTGCGGCCTGCTTTCAGGAGATCTTCCTCCCACCCTACCTCCAGTCCCTGGTGACTCTACCTCTTGGTGTTGAGCTGTGGTTCCCTTACCTCCTTCCAGTAGACTCTCTCATTCTTCCCTTCCTGCCCATCTTCACTCCTTTGTGCCAGCCACCAGTCAGCAAAAACCCTTACTGTGAGAGACTCCCGTGCTGGTAACAACAGATTGGAATGCAGGTAGGTATTTTTTTAAAACATCCATCCTACCCTCCATTCTGCTTATTCCAGAATTATTATTAGTCCTGTAGCAGCTTTTCTGTAGGAACCCCTTTCCATACCATGACTACCTTGAGCACCTCATCTCTTGGTGAGACCCCATTACCCCTAGCTATTTCCCTCTGCCTCTCAGCCTTTTCTCTTAGGATATCTCCATTTCTTTCTGTCCCCCACTGACTCTTAGAAGTACTCTCTATCAGGTACTCCAGAGTCACCATACTTGCCTAGGATGCAGAGTAGGTAGCAACAACCAGAGAACAGACCCCTGCCCAAAAAAGAGAAGACCAGATATGGACACCAGGAGACACCTCAAAATCATAGCTCAAGGTGTCTAGATCCCTGGCAAAAACACAAACATGAACAGCCTGGTCAGTTTGCCTCCTCCCAAAGCCAGTAATACATTGTGATAGTCTCAGAGAAATGCAGATTAGCAGAACAAGAAGACAGGGTCTTCAAAATAGCAATTACAAATATGTTCAAGAACCTTAAAGAGGATATGAACAAATATGTTAATGAAGACCATAAAAACACAAACAGTTGAATGGAGTAATGGAAACATTTCAAGACATGAAAGTAGAAATAGAATCACCAAAGAAAACCAAAACTAAAATAAAACTAGAAATGAACAATTTAGGAAGTAAAACTAAAACCTCAGAGGAAAGTCCCACAAATTACAAGACATGGAAGAAAGAATTTCCATGTAGAAGAAGTGGATAGGTCAGCAAAAACAAAAACATTAAATCTAAAAAAATCCCGGCACAATTTGTTGAAGATGTTCTCTTTGTTCCATCATATAGATTTGGATTGTTTGTCAAAAATCGGGTGTTCATAGGTGTGTGGGTTAATATCAGGGTTTTCCATTCTATTCCATTGGTCTACCTGTCTGTTTTTGTGCCAATACCAAGCTGTTTTCAGGACTATAGCTCTGTAATAGAGCTTGAAGTCAGGGATGGTGATGCCTTCAGAAGTTCCTTTATTGTACAGGGATGTTTTGGCTATCGTAGGTCATTTGTTTCTCCATATAAAGTTGAGAATTGTTCTTTCAAGGTCTGTGAAGAATTGTGTTGGGATTTTGATGGGGATTACATTGAATCTGTAGATTGCTTTTGGCAAGATTGCCATTTTTACTATGTTGATCCTACCTATCCAAGAGCATGGAAGATTTTTCCATTTTCTGGTATCTTCATTAATTTCTTTCTTTAGAGACTCAAAATTCTTACTGTACAGGTCTTTCACATTTTTGGTTAGTGTTACCCCAAGGTATTTTATGTTGTTAGTGATGATTGTAAAAGGTGATGTTTTTCTGATTTCTTTCTCCACCAATGAGTCATCGGTAGGGAGACATTTTTGGTTTACAGAGATATCAGGCACTAGGGAAATGTCTGGAGAGCTACAAAGATGACACCAGTTAACTATCTCAGCACCTTAAATGCCCTCCCCTGATTATGAGATTGAGGACTGACTTATATGCAATCCTATAGCCTTCATCCAGCAGCTGGTGGAAGTAGAAGCAGACACCCATAACTAATCACGGAACTGAACTGGAACCCAGATGCAGAGAAGGATCAGTGAAGAGCACAGAGGTCATGACCAGGCTGGTGAAACCCACAGAAACAGCTGACCTGAACATCCGGGAACTCTTGTTCCCCAGTCTGATAGCTGGAATACCAGCATGGGACTGATCCAGACCCCAGGAACATGGGTTTCTGTGAGGAAACTTCAGAAATCTATGGGACCTCCTGTAGAAGTCCAGTATTTATCCCTATCATAGGTGTGGACTTTGGGAGCCCATTCCATATAGAGGAATACTCCCTGAGCCAAGACACACAGGGGTGGGCCTAGGCCCTATCCCAAAGGATATGAAAGGCTCTGATGACACCCTATGGAAGGCCTCACCATCCAGGGGGAGCAGGAAAGAAATGTGACAGATAAGGTTTTATTGGGGGTGGGGTGGTAGGGGAGGACTGCTGGGAGAAGGGAACTGGGATTGTCATGTAAAACAATCCTGTTTCTAATTCAAATAAAAAAAGTTGGAAAAAAATCCTGGCACAAAACATCCAGGAAATCTGAGACATTATGAAAAGATCAAACCTATGGATTATAGGGATAGAGGAAGGAGAAGAAACCCAGGCTAAAGGCACAGAATTGTTTTAAACAAAATAATAGGAAATTTCCCCAATCTAAAGAAGGAAAATACCAAGGTATAAGAAGTACACAGAACACCAAATAGACAGGATCGGGGGGGGGGGGGGGACAAGAAATTCCCCATGACACACAATAATAAAAACACTAAACATAAAGAACAAAGAAAGGGTATTAAAAACTGCAAAGGAAGAAGACCAAGTAACATACAAAGGCAGACCCATTAAAGTAACACCTGACTTGTCAATGAAGACTCATTTTTTCCATGCCAGAAGGCAAGCAAAAAGTCTGAGAGACCATAGAAGCCAGCTCAGACTGCTATACTCAGAAAAACCTTCAATCACAATTGACTGTGAAAGAAAAATTGCATAATAAAACTAAATTTAAACAAATTATATTTACTAATCCAGCTCTACTGAAGGCCCTATAAGAAAAACTTCAATGTGAAGAGGTTAACTAACCCTAGCGGTTAACTAACTCCCCAAACACAAGGAATAACTAATTCCAGAACAGTACATTAAAAAGCTGGGGTTAACAACAAAATGCCAGTATTGATAAACATAGCTAATTAATAACCCTTAATATTATTGGTCTCAACTCCCCAATAAAAAGACACAGAATAATAGAATGGATTAGAACACAGGATCTATTTCTTTGCTACATCCAAGAAACACACCTCACCAGCAAGGATAGACATCACTTTAGGGTAAAATGATGGAAAAAGGCATTCTAAGCAAATGGACCCAAGAAGCAAGAAGATGTGAATATCTTAATATTAGACAAAATAGTCTTGAAACCAAAGATAATCAGAAGAGATATTAATTAAAGGAAAAATACACCCAAGAAAATTACAATTCTAAACATTTATATTTCAAATACAAGGTACTGAAATTCATAAAAGAATCACTACTAGTGGTAACTTAAATACCACATTCTTGCCAATATACAGGTCATCCAGACAAAAATTAAACAGAGAAATGCTGGAGTTAAATGGCATCATAAATTAAATGTTCTTAACAGAAATCTACAGAACATTTCACCCAAACACAAAATAATATACCTTCTTCTTAACACTTAGTAGAACTTTCTCCAAAATTGACCAGATACCATACAAGCAAAGTCTCAACAGATATAAGAAAATTGAAATAACTGCATTCTGTGTGGTCATCATTGATTAATGGAAATTGAAAAACTCTCTATTGAATGAAAATGAGTCAAGTCTGAAATCAAGAAAATTACTAAAATCTTTAAAATTGAATGAAAATGAAAACACCCATGCCTATTGGACACAATGAAGGTAGTTATAGCAGGTAAGTTCATAACACTGAGTACTTATATCAGGAAACTGGGGAGACATCATGTTAATACTTTAAGAGCATATCTAAAAGGTTAGAGCAACAGGAAGAAATAATAGCCCAGAAAAGTAGGAGTAGAAGGGGAAAAATAAACTAAAACAATGATACAAACAACTGAACAAAAACTAATAGAAAAAAATAATGAAAAGAAGACTTGGTTTTTAGAGAAGTGCAACAAGTTTGACAGATCATTAGGAGATTAACTAAGAGGAGAGAGAAGATCAAAATTAATAATCTCAGTGATGAAAAGGGGGCATCACAACAGACACCAAGGAAACTCAGGGAAATAATAGAGACATACTTTAAAACTCTGTATTCCACCAAACTGGTTGCCACCCTACCAAGGATGATTTTAAAAAAAAAATGTATCACCTGCCAAAGTTATATCAATATCAAATTAGCAACTTAAATGGACGTATAACCTCTAGTGAAAGAGAAACAGTAATTGAAAATGTCCCATCCATAACAAGCCCAGTGCCGCATGCATTCAGCAGAATTCTACTAGACCTTCAAAGGAGAATTAGTGCCAACACTCCTCAAATTATTCAGAAAAATAGAAACTAAATAAATATTTCCTAAGTATTTTATGAAACCACTATTATCCTGAAACCAAAACCATATAAAGACCCAACAAAGAAAATTATAGACATTATCTCTTAGATGCTAAAAATCTCAATAAAATATTTGCAAACCAAATCCAAGAACACATCAAAAAGATTATCTACAATGAATAAGAAGGCTTTATTCCCAGAGATGCAGGGTGGTTCATATAAATCAATAAAATTAATATACCACATAAATAGACTGAAATACCAAAAGCATATGTTCATTTCATTAGGTACAGATAAGGCCTTTGACAAATTCCAACATCTCATCTTGTTAAAAATCCAGGAGAGAGACTAGGGATACAAGAGACATTGTACCTCAACATAATAAAGGAAATTTACAGCAATCTCACAACCAACATAAAAAATAGACTAAAATTTTAACCTTTTCCACTAAAATAAGGAATAAGACAGGATATCCCACTCTCTACATATCTATTCAAGATAGATATGTTGATGTCTTATATAGAGAAATAAGAAATAGAAGGAAATCAGGGAGATATAAATATAAAAGGGAGGAGTCAAAGTAGTTATCTAAAAATTATGATTTTTAAATATATAAAGGTCTATAAAAACTCTACCAGTAAACTTCTAGAAGTGGTAAGCACTTTCAATAATGTAGCAGGATACAAAATCAACACACACACAAAATACAGTTGCCTCCCTATGTATAGATGACATGCATACTAGGAAACAAATCAAAGAATCAGTACCTTTCTTACTAACCTTAAGAATAAATAAAATATTTTGGAAGAACTTGAATTAAATATGTTAACAACTTATATAATAGAAACTTTGAGGTATTTAAGAAAAACTGAAAAAGACACCAGA